AAGGCCAAATAAAGTGCTTTTGCTTTCGCACAAAAACACACAGCGTCTCCCTGACATGGCTGCATCAACACTACTGCTGTTCCTGAAACCACGCCTTCTTTCTTTGCGTGCACATTTGGGCGGCATTATGTTTTTTCTAATATTTCCACATAGTGATGTAGATATGTGGGGGCCTGTTAGAACGAGCCATTTTAGGTAGGCGTGGCTGACTCTTAACTTTTATAAAGAATATCTCTTTGGATTTGAGACTTTAGTCTTTGCAACTTTACAGATCTTCTTTATGCACCAAGAGCTTGTAACACTCCAAAGAGAAAGGAAAACTTGAAATTGCATCATATGACCCCTTTAAATTTGACCAATTTTGAATTTAATGTTGTCTGAAATACTGGTTACCCTTTCTTGAAATGTTGAGAGTTTTCCTCACTTAGGACCATGAACATACCTGTACTGTTTCGACACTTTGATGTGATAGAATTTCTATTACAGTTAATTTTACCTCATATTTCATTGTTAAAAGCAGTTGCACAGACCCAAAATTAAATATTTTTTTAATGCATTTCATTATGTCAGTTTCTAAACAAGGAAGCCTAAGGGTATTTACATTTATGTATTCGGCAAAAAATGTCTATAATATTATTATAACAATGTTATAATTTTTTTGGGTAATGTGAGATAGGTATTAATTTTAAAGGTGTGCTGATTGTACCCGTTTTTTTGTTTGTTTGTTTTACATAGTGTGATTTCTGATTAACTGTAATGAATTAAAATTTTGTAACGATTGTACCCAGATTTTTCTCAGTAGGGTTGGGTATCGTTTGAATTTTATCGATTCCGAATCCGATTCTCATAGTTTTCTTTTCATAAATAAAATATAGATTAATCAATTAAAGTTATTAAATATATTCAGTCAAGATCAGTGAATGATTTTCTTTTGTTCTTTGATTAACATTAATGACAGGCAGCACATTTTTTAGGCTGCTGTCTCTTTAACACCGAACGCACGCAGATCTAAAAATACTGTACATGTGTGCTTTCTTTCTCATCCGTTTACATTAGACAAAAACGGCTGTGTTTATGATGATATACTGACGTAGCTTTCTGCATATTGGTCGACAAATATGAAAGAAGTCAGTTTCGGCCCGGAACAACCTTTTCTACAGTGGAAATACATGGAGCGGTTTGAGAACGGACACAAACCGGGAACCCGTACCGCGACCTCTGTTCTCTGTGCTCGCGCTTCGTGTGCGCTGCACGAAAACTTTCCGTTCCTGCACTTAAATCATTTTTAATCACATTAAAATGCGAATGCAGGAATCGTTAAGCAGAATCGAAATGCACGCATCTTATCGAATACCCGGTTCTTGAAAATTTGGAACTTCGAAGTTTTCGATACCCAACCCTAGCTATCAGATCAACATGAACTTGACTAGTCCAATATTTAAAATGTTGGCTAATATAGTTGGTTCTGACCTTTAAAGTGTGAATAAACATTCCGCACCAAGACCACAGAAGAACCATGTGGAAATCTCAACCTTACCCTTTACAGCTACTATTGTTTGACCTCTTTGTTGAGCGATAACTTCAAAATCACTGGGCCAAGGGCCAGCAGAGCACAGCCTATAAACAATGTTTTAATCAAATATAGGTATGTTTTCAAGGACAAAGCCTAACAATGGTCTTTTAAACAGCCAAAAGCACTTAAAGCACTTTTTCAAGGGCTTTGGAATGACCGTTTCCAAGCAAAGTGGTGTCCATCAAGTTTCAGCCAAACAAAAACAACAATGTCTGAGCAATGTGTGTTTCTCTGCTACCTAATCATTACCACGGACACCCAGACACAAACATCTCCCAATCATTTCCAGAGTCTTTGGAAATTGTATCGTGCTAGACAATGCCTTAGGAAAAGCGCTAAATCTGGCTGTGAGAGTTGCATAAGTCTGAGAGGAATGTGATCAGCTGCATATGCACACAGTACTTCTGTTGACAAAGGTTATTTACACAGCGATGTCAGAGATAGCAGGGACTTCTCATGGAAAACACAGTGAAGAAGTCAGTGTGTTTGACAGGATCTCATCCCTACCTTGTCTGGTTATGTCTGTACAATGTATTTCTACAAACAATATGTAACGGTTGTAATCATCAAACAAAATTCCCTGTATGGCCCGCATATTTTGGCGAATTCTTTTGGGAGCATCTGTCGAGAGATGCAAAATAAACTGGTTTAGGCCAACTTGATGATGAGGAATCTGTGTTATGGTTTTGACAAAGACGACATTTTCCTGCTGCGAAAAAAGTGGAAGGTGTACATTGCAGCAGTGAATAGTAATACAATATATTAGGGTTGTCACAATATCAAATTTTCACGACACAATTATTGTGGCCAGAAGAATTCACAATAACCATATCTATAGAAATGTTGAATAAGTACAAAACATCGATCAGATGATACATTTCAAGGCATTCGTCTGTTTTTTGTCCTTAAAACACTAGCGTGTGTAACTGTCTGTACTCTATATGTGCGCATGTAAGGGAGAGAGAGCGGGAGAAATAGAGTATGTGCTTTCTGTACATAAAACAATTTTTTTGGCCAAAAAATTTAAATATTATGTTGTTTTTAATAATGATAATAATAATTCATTACATTTATATAGCACTTTTCTAGGCACTCAAAGCGCTTTACATTGTGAGGGGGGGATCTCCTCATCCACCACCAGTGTGCAGCATCCACCTGGATGTTGCGACGGCAGCCATAGTGCGCCAGAACGCCCACCACACACCAGCTTATTGGTGGAGAGGAGACAGAGTGATGAAGCCAATCAGCAGATATGGGGATTGTTAGGAGGCCATGATGGTCAGAGGCTAATGGGCAAATTTGGCCAGGATGCCGAGGTCACACCTCTACTCTTTTTGAAAGACATCCTGGGATTTTTAATGACCACAGAGAGTCAGGACCTCGATTTAACGTCTCATCCGAAGGACGGTGCTTTTTACAGTATAGAGTCCCCATCACTATACTGGGGTGCTAGGACCCACACAGACCACAGGGTGAGCACCCCCTGCTGGCCTCCCTACTAGCACCTCTTCCAGCAGAAACCTAGTTTTCTCAGGAGGTCTTCCATCCAGGTACTGAACAGGCTCAACCCTGCTTAGCTTCAGTGGGCGACCAGTCTTGGGCTACAGGGTGATATGGTTGCCAAGTAAAATAAACTTGGCATAAACTTTTTTTTATCTTATTGTTTACTATATTTATTTGCTTGGCCAGTGTCATTGTGGGTTTTGGTTATTTTGCTGTTTGGTTATTAGGCTGTAAGGAACTTTGAAATAGGTTAATTGAAATAATTTGGGAAAAGTGATATGGAACTGAAAATAATTTCACACCTTAGAACATTCGTCAGCCAATCAGACTAAAGAATTCAATGGCCCCGTAGTACAATAAATAAATGCTACCAATCACATTCTTCTTTAAATTTACTGTTTTATGACAAGAAGCAAATAGCTGCATAGTGTGACACCCCTACATCACATTGATTTTTGTAGCCTATATCATGTTTAATGTGTTACATTTTAATCTTGTTATTAGTTTGTATGGCTGCTACCCTGACCAGAACAAACTTTATTTTTGGGACCAATTCTCACTATTAATCAGCCTAACTATTAGCTATGACTTTTGCCACAATAACCACCTAATTAGCTGCTTATTAATAGTTAGTAAGATAGTTGTTAAGTTTAGGCATGGGGTAGGATTAAGGGATCTAAAATGCGGTCATGCAAAATAAGGCATTAAAGGGTTAGTTCAATCAAAAATGAAAATTAGGCCATAAATTACTCACCCTCAAGGCATCCTAGGTGTATATGACTTTCTTCTTTCAGACGAATCCAGTCGGAGTTATATCAAAAATTGTCTTTGATATTTCAAGCTATTTAATGGCACTCAGCGGGTGTTGCAGTGTTTCAGTCCAAAAGAAGTGAAATAAAAAGCACCCATCCATAAAAAATTTGGTTTTTGTAAGAAAAATAACCATATTTAAAACGTAATAATCAATTTAATCTAGCTTGCGCCAACAGTTGTACACGGAAGCAGCTCGGGGCTGATGACATATGAGGTCAGCGTTGCGCATGCATGCGCCGGTGAGTCTTGTGAAAACCAACATTTGTTAATAGGAGCAAAGGAAGCAAAATTAGCTTACTTTAGCAAAGGAAAACCAGTCTCCTCTTGGCTTGTATCGAAATCCTCCCTTACAAATCCTCGTTTTGTACTTCTAATTAGTAACCGTTGTTTTGTTTTGATCTCTTCCCTGCGCTTCCGCGTTCATCACTTCTGAAC